ACACTTGACCCAGAGTATTTTAAGGCAATATCAGACTATATGCTACACGGTCCCTGTGGTAAGGAAGCACCAAATTTTTATTATGTTAGGTTGATTGTGTGGTGTAGAATTTTTTAGGTGTTAGTTAGATTGAATGGTATAAGATCGAGTTAGGTGAATTCTATGGTGCAGATCTATTTTAATTTCGAAAAGTAATTCGAACGGTAGATGAAGTACCGTTTCATATTAAATAATTTTTTTAAAATGACGAAACGGTAGATCATCTACTGTTTCGTATTAAATAATTTTTTTTAAAATGACGAAACGGTAGATTGTCTACCGTTTGAATAATTTTTCTCTCTGACAGCACTGATCCGGAACACTTTTTTGGTAGCTGCACTGTCCGGGAATTAAATCAAATAAATAGACTCCAACCAACCAGGCACATGTTTGTTCCTGCTTCTCAAACCAATCAGGTTTGGTAAGGTTTTTCGCTACTCCCTTCTACTTCTATACATTTTCAGCCTCTATTCTTGTGTACTTATATGCTTTATAGCCTATTTGAGAAGTTTATTTTTTAGGAATGAAGTTCACATCATTATGCTCGGGTATATAGTACATGCTTCATGATCTCTTCAACCTTTCATTAAATGGCTAGATATTAAAAATCTTCATGATCACTTTTTCCCAAATCTACTTTATGGAGCCACTCAATTTTCTCTTTCCCCTATGCAACTTTATAGAACCACTAAATTGAATAGACATAAAGCAATTTTATTGAGCCCAACACCACGCCAGGCCTAAACCCGAGCCACAAAGCAGGCCCAAACCTGTGTTATCCATTGCCATGCCCAAACCCAATCCACCAAACCTTTACCTTAGGCGGGAACACTGTTCAAAATCATATCCTAGCATTATATATAGTAAGATAATAGATATGCTTTCCAGGCCCTATTGGTTGATGTAAACATCAAGGAGAGGTGTGAATATGAAATAAAGTAGAGCACCCACATTAAACAATATACTCTATATGCCCTAATTTAAGTTATTTATCTACTATTCTTAACCACGTTCTTTACCTTTTTTGACAAAATAATATAGTCTTGTTAACTCTTACTTTATAAAACTTTTGATGTAGATTTTAAATATATAAATTTTATTTTTGAGTTTCATACCAAAAATGACCTGTGAAACAAGTGGCGGATCTAGGAAATCTTTTCACTAGGGGCACAATTGGTCAACACAAATAAAACAAATGTAATAAGAATAATTTAAAATTAACTAAAAGTAAAATATGTAATTAACTGAAACATAGATTTTATAATTGTTCTCTACGAGGTTTCATTTTTGAAAGCGGACAATTACATCTTCGTTTGTAACCTTAAACTACACTTCTTTTTTCATAGCACAAATTACACATGCGTTAAGAAACTCGTCTCTAATTCAAATGTATAAATCAGTCTTCACATGCTTCATTGTAGAAAAGCATCTCTCAATTGTGGTTGTTGAAGAGGTAGCACTGTGATTAAATATATTAACATTGCTAGAAGAACCAGAAGCTGATGTTGGCAAGTCTTTTTGTTTAAAAAACTTCTCCATTTTCCTATATATTTATACATATATAATAAACCTCAATTTTAGTATAGGTCAATACAATCTATTAGGGCCTGTTCTTTTGAGCTTGAACTCTTAACTTCCAGTTTCTTCCAGTTCCTTCCATTTTCTTCCAGTTTTTTTAGTTTCTTCCAGTTTTTTTCAGTTCCTTCCAGTTCTTCCAGTTCCTTCCAGTTTCTTCCAATTCCTTCCAGTTTTTTCTAGTTTCTTCCAGTTCATTCCAGTTCTTCCAGTTCCTTCCAGTTTCTTCTAGTTCCTTTTAGTTTGTTCCAGTTTCTTCCATCTTTTCTCATTTTTATCAAATTCTTTCTACTTCTCAACCAATTACTCTAAAAATGATATATTTTAATGTGATTATTATTCTTATTATTATAACTGTTATATTCATAACTATAGTTTATAAATAATTTTTTTCATCTCACTATTTTTGTGATTCACACTTATTATTATTTTTTCCAGCTTTTTAATATGAATAAGACATTTTTTTATATATATTAGTCTACATGATAAAACAGGAAAACATCAATATGTTAAATTATACTAAAAAAATTATGGATAAAATAGTTACATTGTGTTTTATTAACATAACTTTTTATAAGACATCTCAGTTTTCCCTTTATTACTTAAAAATTGCTCATTTAAAAAAAATTGTAAGTTAAAAAAGCTTAGAGAAAAAGACTAAAATATGAGTAAAACATTAAAAATGTAAATAAAAAAGTTCTATGTCTTTATTCCAAAAATAGGAATTCAATGAAAATAAAATGTCAATCATGAAAGAAACAATAGGTTTGATTATGTGACATGTATGATATTTAAAACAAATGTTTTAATATATAAATTATAATTACAAATATATTATTTATAATAAATACTGCATAAATAAATTGAGGTGCAATATAACTACAAAGACTTCTTAAAATTTAATATTTTTATGTTTATGCTAACTTTATATTATAATTATTTTTTGCAAAAGTAGTTTTTTGTATTTAAAAAAACAATACTTTTTTTATATCTTAAAAACATTGACTAAGATAACGTGATGATGATTATTGTGGTGGTGGTGGTGGTGGTGATGATGATGATGATAATGATAATGATAATAATAATAATAATAATAATAATAATAATAATAATAATAATAATAAAAATAATAATAATAATAATAATAATAATAATAATAATAATAATAATAATAATAATAATAATAATAATAATAATAATAATAATAATAATAATAATAATAATAATAATTTATAACAACAAGAATTTAAAATAAATCTTTTTAAAGTTTTTTTAGGTTTTTCAATTTTTTGAAGTTTTTTCAGTTTCTTCCAGTTTTTCCAGTTTCTTCCAGTTTTTTCCAATTTATTCGAGTTTTTTCCAGTTCCTTCCAGTTTCTTCCAGTACCTTCCAATTTTTTCCAGTTCTTTCCAGTTCTTCCAGTTCCTTCCAGTTTCTTCCAGTTTTTTCAGTTTCTTCCAGTTCCTTCTAATTTTTTCCAGTTTCTTCCAACATCCAGCTCTTTTTTTATAGTCCTAAAGAACAAGTCCTTAGTCTTTTACACCACAATCACACAAAAAAAACTACACAATTTTACATATTTAACACATTTGTATAAAATAGTCCACAAAATAGTCTCTTTAAAAAAAGAACAATATAGTCCCAAATTTTTAGACGTAATATTCTGCAAATCTGCAATCTATAGTCAAAAATTCTATAATCAGATTGACGATTAACTTCAGTTCCAAACTATATTTATAATTTATATCACAATAACAAATGCACATAACCTAATCACTGAATCTAATTTTTAGAACTCATGGGCAAACAATTCAATTCAAAAACTAATAAAAGAATTAAGAAATGCTACACTTTCTGTTTCAGACCGGAATAGATGGACAGTTCGGCAGTTTGGTGAGTGGGGTGAGATAATGAGACGCACGGGTGTTTTTTTTACTTCAACTTTGATTTAGGTTTAAATGGGCTAATGGGCTGGACACATTTTTTAAATAGTGGAATGAGCCTAAAATTGAGCTGGGGGCAATCGTAAAATTTAAATAATTCATTGGGGGTAGCTTTCATACTACTTTAAAAATTACGGAGTACAAATAATTACCTTACAAGTAGAATTTGACCGGGGGCAATTGCCCCCCCTAACTAAAGAATGGATCTGATAGACTGAGTAACTCTTTTTGTTTACGAGACGTGAACCACAACAATGTAAATGGCCTAATGGTTAACGAGAGGTGAACCACATCAAATAGGTAAACTGTGACAGAATGAGTAACTCTTTTAGTTTAGACAAAATTTAATTTTCCACACGATTTTTGTTGTTTGGCAACAATGATATATGTAAATATTATTGATTGATGTATGCATCAAAATTGAAGTTTAGACTCAATGAAAAAAATCTTCCATATTTTCCTACAAGTTGTGCTCTTTCTCTTTCGTCGAATGTTATTTTTCACAAAAAAAAATTAGTTGACGAGGTTGTGATGAAGCAAGTAGACATACTACTCTACTTACAACTACAACTCATCACAAGGAGTATTGAATAAACTATAATTTATAAGAACTATGAAATCGTGTAGATAGAGCATGTACTACCTCCGTTTCGGAGTATTCGTCCAGTTTTGACTTTTAGAACTGTTCATCTAAGAACTTTGACTCATCAAATTCTCTCAATGTGTAAGCCTAAATATAGTCATGTGTGATCTTGTTCGATTTGTCTTAACATATAGATTATTAATATATAATTTCTATAATTTTTTAATATACAAATTACAAGATAAAATGGATTAAAGAAGTGTATTGGATGGTGTGTAAAAATAAAAGTGGGTAAATACTCTAGGACGGAGGGAGTATTAAGTAATTTATTAAATATGTATCATGTATAAAACTATAACTTTTTTTAAGGAATTTATTATGTAGAGGCATATTATTGGCAAATTGAACACTTGTAAAATCATAATCCATACAACTTATAGGGATGCTTGGTAATGAAGCCCACACTCCAGGATCCATGGAAAGAAATCACTAAAATTCAAGCCCCAACATAGCAAAGATGTTGGATGTTTGTATGTTACTCCGTATTTGATTGAGAATAGTATAAATAATAGAATCTATAGCATTAAAAAGGTGAAATTTCTTCTCCCTACAACATATTCAATTTTTATAAATTAGCATTTTAAGTTCGAGTTTACGTCTTAATTTAGAAATTTTACATTTTTGATCTTATAGTCTAGTTATGTAAGTGATCCATTTTGGGTTTCGTCAATGTGTATGATTTAACAAAAAAATAGAGTAAAATTACACCAAGACTTAACCAAGTGAAGGACAGAAATGAAGAGAATGTTGCCTAAAAGGGTTCCCGCTTGGTTCACCATGTCGATACCAATGGTTCCACATAATTGCGTGAAAATTTATGATTAGGACAAGAGTAATACTCCCAGTAATAGAAAAGAAATGCTGAGTTAAAGGATATCCAAGTAAGCAGAAGCTTTGTATACAATTTAAGATGCAAATGTGCAAAAGCATAAACCATTATCCGAGGGAGCATACCCTCCCACTGTAGATATATGAAATGAGGTTTGGATTGGCTTTTGTCAAAGCCCCCTTAAGCAGATTCAAATATTTCAGGCTTTTCATCAGCACAACCAATAATCTCATATCCACACATTTCTTGATTGATTGAGTGGCTTAAGAAACACTAGCCATGGACTCTATAAGGAGCTGGTAACCCTCTGGGACGGGTGACTGTGTTTTCACGCATTCAGCTAATGCGGGGACATTGGCATTGATGTCCAAAAACCGCCCTAACAAGAGCAGCAGATGAAAATCTGAAATGCGCTTCACAAATGGGAGACTCTTTGTTTGATCAAAATGATTTTTCAGCGCCCTCATTGTAACATGAACATTTCGGTTCTCAATGGGAAAGGTTGATGCCAGCTGGCCCTACAAACAGTAATTAAAATTTACATTAGATGCAATTGAGCATGAATTGTTGGGCAAATAGGAATTATCCACAGCCATCTCAACAAGCCAGAACAATGAATTGTCGAGTATTTAAGAAGCATCAGCATGAAAAGGGAGTACAGCTACCGTTATATAGGTTAGAATAAATATCATATTTAGATTGTCAAGTGACCTTTGAGCCCTATTTGTTGTATTTAGTTAGTGAATTTTAGTGTTAAAAATGAAAATTGCTAAATTCACTGTAAATTAATTTTTAAGATTGAAAGCAAATCTACTAAAATTCAACAAACTATGCCTAAAAAATACTAATCGCGTTTCCATAAAAGTGGTAACAACTTGCCCACAAAATAAAATAAATGAACCGCTGATTTTCAAGACTTTTAATTTCTTACTAGAAATTGGAATGTCAAGGGAGGTCTAAAAAGTTTGATTTTGATCACTCTACAGGTCTTATGATAATTGTACCCTTCTTCGAGATATAAAAATAGCTTACTACATCAACTATCTGATGGGATTAGTAGTGAAACCTCAGAAATACTGCACTTTTCCCAAAAAAGAGATATCAAGTAAACATTCAAGATCAATCAAGCTAGGTATCACCAACCACAAAAGCCAAAATATTGACAGCAGAACCAGAAATGCACATAGTCACAAGCAAAATTTATATTTGTCTATCTAAAGTGAGAAAGACAGTAAGCACGAAACCACAACATATCACCAACAATGAACCACAAACCAACTGGATTTCTAGTCCCTCAAACACTCAAATAGTAGCATAATATTATCGCGCAAGGAAGCACAAAAGTTCGAGGGGATGACAAAAACACACACACAAAAGCCTACCTTCAAGCTACGGCCAAAACCAAATCCTGAATCATTTAACTTCCAGGGGCAACAGAAAACAGAGAATTGGAATAAAAATCACTAAAGCACATTCCCTATTTATTACCATTGTCTTTTTAGGGAAAGATTATATGGCTAATATTACTTCTCTCCCTTCTTAATAGATGTCAATTGAACAATTTTTACTTTATTTAAAAGCAAGTAAAGTCAAACAGAGAACAAAATTATGGGACGGGGGGAGTACTACATATTCGTCATAGAGTACATGCATTGGAAAATTTTAAACTAGTTTAACTCCCTTAATTCATAAGTACCTGTGATTTCATCAAGTGGTGCAATATACTAAAATATGAACTTAAGGGAAAAATCAGAATGTTGATACCAACGTATTGTGCACATAAGATACAAATTGATAAAGGTGTGAGCTTGAAAAAGAAAAGAACGAAAACTGAATAGCAGAAAGCAAATGTGAAAGTTCAAATGCACCTGGTGATCAGAAATCTTGACTACAACCAAGAAAAAATCATTGTCGACCTCTTTTGTATCCTTCACTCCTACAACAACATATTTTTTCATCCGGGAAAGCTTGGGATCTAAATCTTCAGTGCCTTCTGTCTCAAACCATCCTTCCTTGAATAATCTAATACACACATCACTTATCTGGAATGCCTCAAAATGCACATCAGCGCCTCCACCCTCACTCACCTCCAACTTTACCATGGCAGTCACCCATTCCTTCAAGTTATTCTCCCCGTGCAGCTCAGCAGCTTGCAGAATTTCCGCATTCGACATAGTGTAATCCTTTTTGTCTTGTGTAATGGACTGAGTAAAGATAAATCCCACCTTTCTCATACCCAACCCCACGGCAATTGCATCCACGATCTTCTCCTCATCAGGATCGCGCAGAAGCAACAATCTATCCTCTGTCCCCTGCTGTGGCGGCTCATAGATGAAATTTACTTCCACTTTCCTTTCTGGGGACACAGTCCCATACATAAACCCACCGCGCTTTACGGCAAAAGCAAGGGTGTCATTGACGTAATGCTGGAAGGCATGGGCTGCGTCTCGATCAAAGGACACAAGCTCGCAGTGTGATTCTTCCTGTCTGGTAACGCGCATTTGCATGGCGATCAGATCATCCATGGTCATCTTCTTCCCGAATGACCCAGCAGGGTTGAATGCGGGACCCGGTACGGTCCGCTCCCCTTCATAGGACAGGTATATGATGGAGCCATGGCCGATGTTGACAGAAGAAATCGGGGCGAGTGGGTTAGACATGTCCGTGAATCGGGCCAAATCATCTAGGGTTTTGGCGAGCAAGAGGTTTTGATTTGTGGAAAGGGTTTGCGATTGAATAGGGACTCGGAGCTGAGCCTCGATTTCGGATTTGAGATGCGCGATTGTGGCATGTGGGTTGCCGAACGTTACCCGCTCAAGGCCATCTCTGCTCCGAACTCTGATAATCAGCTTCTCCATAGTTTGTGTTTGTCCGCGGATTCAACTATACTCAAGTTTTCTTATTGGGTTTGCATTTGTCTTCAGGGTCTTTTTCCGCGAGGAGGCTTCTTCTGCAAACTTGGCAAATAGGTACCTGTAGTGGTTTGCAAAATAAGGACCAAAACCTCCTCTATTTTCAAAACTTATTTCTAAAATTCATGTGGTTTCAAAATGCTGCACCCGTGCCCCTTCTGATCATTTTCCGGCAATTTTTCCGGCGAAGAAGGGGGGCATTGATGCATATTTACTAAACCACAGGGGCATCAGTGCTGATATTTATTTCTCACTTATTTTTTGTTTTTTTTCCATTTTTTCCTTTATTTGTTTCATTTATTAATAAACATTTTTTTAAAATTATTTTTATAATGTTCAGAAAATTTAAAGTTATTTTTGTTTGAAAAAATTAACATATAATGTATAAGAAAACCCCCTAAATAAGAGTAAAACATATATCATATCCTCAAAATAGGAGTTCAAACTTAAACTTCTCTAAATAGGAGTAATTAACTAAATTTTGTTTTGATTTACTCTTCCGCACTAACCGCACCACATCTCCTTTGTTCTTATCTCAGTTGCTAACGCTGTCAACTTAATCTCAATCCCCTCTCTGCCGCTACCATCTCCTCTATGCGGCAATGATTCTACCACACTCTCCATCATCTCCTTTTCTCTTATACACACGATCTCCTTCTACCCTCTCCACCATTTCTATTTTTCATGACTCGAATGTTTTCGTCCCCTTGGGTAAGTTTGAATTCTATTTGATATTTAATTTGACAAAAGTAGTTAAATTCAATTTTAAATCTTAAAATTTACTTTTTCGGGAATTATTTTGTAAAATTGATACTAATTCTTTTAGCCTTGCGTCAGTTTGAAACTTTTATTCAATTTTATATTCAGTTTCAAATAGATTGTGACATTTGATTTCAAATCTATTTTTACTTCTTAGAAAATTATTTTGTAAAACATATATTGAAACGAAATGATTATTGTGTTGGCAAATAGAATTTCTTGATGTTTAACTTTTTTGAGATTATGCATTAACATATGTGTTATATGTAAAATTATACATTGGCATATCTGTCATTATACAATGCCAAGTGTGGCTCTATATATTGTCATATTTGGCATTATCTCTTGGTTTAGCATTATGCATTTGCATGTATGACTTTATACAATGACATGATTGTCATTATGCGGTTACGTGTGACATTAAATGCGGTCTTGTTTGACACTGTATAGACATTTTACTGTAGTACTTTATTGAGTTTCTATTTATTGCTTAAAAATTTTGACAAATATCTACAAGATATTAATCAGGTCCCATATATTTATTAATTAAGAATTTAGAAATCATCCTAAATAGGACTAAAACATAGAGAAAAGTACCAAAATAGGGCTTTCATGTTTTTTTTCCCGGAATAGGACTTTGCATTGTGGTAATGTAACTTTGCATTGTGGTAATGTGACAGTGTACATGTACAAATTACTATACTTTCTAGGTAATGTACATGACCATGTTTGGTAATGTAAGTCTTATTTCGGGAATAAAAACATGGAAGTCCTATTTTTGTATATCTTCAATGTTTTAGTCCTACTTTGATCATTCTCCCTTAAGAATTTTGGCATTAAGTGTGGTCTTGTTTGACACTCTATGAGCCCGAGGCAATACTTAAAGATGATGTTTATCAATTTTTTTCTCTTCCTAAGAGTATCAAATCATCAAATTAGAATATTTGAGTTGTGCATTAGGACATATAAATATTCAGGAGCAGGGTAGAAATAGCCGCATTTGTCTATGGTACCGAGCTTTGGGTGTGATTTTGTTGTCGTCCCTTGACGATGTAGTTAAAAGAATCATTTATTGACAATATTTTAACTTTAGGTAAAAAATTTAGCCGGCATAATAGTTAGCCGTTATTTTGATAAAAAATAAATATAATGTCTTATTTTATTTTCTGACTCGAAAATATAAACTATTTGTAAAGCCAACCTTTTAATTCAAAAAATAGGTAATTGGGTTTGTTGAACAACTTACGCACCTCTAGAGGGGGGGGGGGTGAATAGAGGTGTTGTTCAAAAATCAAAACTTTTGGAAGAACAAAAATTTGCAGGAGTATATCAACCACAAGAACACAAAGATGAAGAGAAGGAGCAACACACGATGTATCCTGGTTCGGCCTAATGCCTACATCCAGTCCCTGAAGCAAACGTGCCGGAGATTCTACTAACTTCGTCAAACTTAACGGAGTTTGACAATCCGATTACAACTCGAGAACTTGAATTCGCAAGCCTCTAACCTTTCCACCGAAGTCTTGATTTCACAAGACTCAGGATTTCTCTCCAAAACTTGAATTATATCAACTTCAAGTTTTTACAATTCACACAACGTTCCAAAACAAAGTGCACAGCGGAAATACTCTTCAAATTAAGAGTGGATTGCTGTAGAATACAAGAACTTATAGAGTATGGCACACTAGTACTCTTCAAAACTCAAGCAAATATTGATTTCTTGAAGAATTGCTTGGAAGTAATGTTGAAGGATCAAAA